GAAGAGGTTGTATAAAAGGACAGAAGCTCCTCAAAAGCAAAAGAAACAAATCAAAACATTATTATGCCTTCTGAATGAGATCAGGTAAAGCAGGAAGGAACAGATATCTGACCAGGAACAAGAAACTTCACTGAAGGTCTCAATGGACTCAAGAAGAAAGTGCTGACCAGAGCCCACTGACATATAAAATGTGTGCAAGTCAAGACACCCAGACTGTTCTTTTACAGAACATTTAGTGCTTCTTAGGACCTTCCAAAGAGGAAATCAGAAAAAATAGACAAAAATCTGCTGTCACAGGTCCTTAAAAATTATCCCATGCAGAATGTAAGCTGACTGCGTATAGCACCAGATGGACATCATCGTAAGCACACTGATCTCCCATGTAGCCAGGGTAACTAAGACTTCTTGGTGTTACCCATTGAAGAAACAGTAGTTTCTCTTTTCCTCCTCACCAGTAAATTGAAGCCTGCTGTTGGCAAGGCAATGGATGACTTGTTAGGGGGTTAACCAGTGGGTATGCTTCATCCCACTGTGCGGTGAAGGAGAGTGATGCTCACATGTTTATACAAATGAAAGCTTCACTGCCTTGGACTGCTGCCGAAAATGAGAAAGGTATTTCCATGCAACCTTTTAGACTAGCTGTCCTTTAATGTTTTTATTCTGTTCAATTACTTAAATCTAGTCTGTGATTTCATGTTCCTGTAGATACTGTAAAATTATAAAATACAAAGACAGGCCCTATCTCAAGGAGTTTACAGTCTAAACACAAGTCAAAAAGAGAACAGATGAACAGGCAAAGTAGGGAGCACAGCTGAGATTAACCAGGGATAATATACAGAGGAGGAAGAGGTGGGGATAAAAGACTCAGCCCAATGAAACCCATACAAAAGTTGGAGGAAGATAAGAAGGTTCTTCAAAGGATGTGCTGAAGGAGATTAAAGAGGTAGGAGGAGAGGCAGGAAATGATAGCACCATGGAAGCCAAAGCAGAAGAAGGTTTCCAGAGGAGCAGCCCCAACTACCTCAATGGGGGCACGTTTTTCGGTGAAAATTCAGGAGTATCCATTGCTTCAAATCATTGGGGGGAAACGGGTTATTGGTTTGGGGGTTTGGTTTAGTTTCCCTTTAACAGGGATAGGGCTTGAGAGATTCCCTAGAGCACGCTCTCTTTATAATCCTTCTGGGATTAAATAACTCCAGACATGTTTCCCTGAGGGCTGGATCCCCTTTCAGTTTGGCAGAGTAGATAGGCAGCTGCAACCTCTCCCTGCAGAGGGGGAGGATGTTAACTATCTCCCTGCCACACATTGCATGGCATGCCTGACATCTGGGATCAGCCTGGCTTTTCCCCTCTATGATAGAGAGTGGCAGAGGGGTGCGCTGCCACCCTTTGAGGAGGACAAGGCTCCAGAGGACTTTGGCACATCCAGGCATATGGCAGGAGAGTGAATGGCTGACCCTGCCTGGTTTCTAGATGCCAAGCTGAACACTGCAGCCATGCTGCACAACAGAGGGTCAAGGAGGGGAGCATGGTACTGGCTAAAAGAGAAAACTAAAACCTTTGTGTAGGCAAACCCTTCTGTAGTACACATATTCATACATTCAGAACGCCTACTATACCTAACCACTGGAAAATGAAGCTTGTTTTCCTAGTATGTGGAAGAGAAAAGAGGAATCTCCTCTCCTGCCCCAGTAAGACAAAGCACTCATGAGAACATAAAGCCATATCATCTCATCAGATATGGAAGCTTACTAATTTACCCCAAATTGCAAGTGTCCTGTTCGGGATGCTCTGCTGCATGGCACAAGTGAAGTCCATTCCCATGGATTTCACAATGTAACTTGTGATGGGTCAATCTGTAGGGAGTGACTTGAAACCTGAACTTCTCTGCTTCAGAGATCATCAGATTTATCTCCTGATTAAAAAAAAAAAAACAACTACTTGACTCAGTGAGAAGAAAATCAGAAACCAGTCTAACCGAAGTAAAACCCCCCTCTGCATTATTTTATTCTACTAGCAGCTTTGGTTTACCCCTCCTTTCAAGAAGCTCCATGTTACAGCATGCCCATCTACTTGGTTTCAGTATTAGGTCTGTAGCTGACAATGAACCTGTCCGATATTTGCTAGGAGAAGGCAAACGTGACAAACCTGCAGTGATGCATCTCATTTTGCAAGGATGTGATGCGCAGCAGAGCAAGAAATTGCCTATGGAGACAGCAAGGAAGAACTGGAAAATGGTCCTTGTGCTCCCTCAAAGTGATAACATGAAGGGAGTAGCTGGTGTAATAATTTACACAAGTCACTAAACTTCATTAGTGAAAGATCAAGTAAACATCATTAGAACCTGACCAGCCCTTGCTCTTGCTGACTTCATTCGGGATGCTCACAGCACTGAGTATAAGGCACTTTTTTCTGTCCTGAACTGGAATGTCCCTACCACATGCGGGGACACATCTTTATTCTTGCCTAAGCCAAGCTCCCATGCAGTGTGTGTGGGAACACAGCTATCACTGCTTCCCCTTTACTGCTGAGATGGAGGGAAGTATCTGCAAGTTTATAAAAAGATTTAATTAGGGAAATAAAGGTTTCAGTGACACCAGTCGTGCTGCGTGAGCTGTCATGTGCGCATGGCCCAGCAGATAAGTCATTTGCATGGTGTTCTCCTCAGCATGGAAAATCAGCACGAGCCCCATGCATCTGCAGCTGTGGGACTGTATCTTCCTCCTGGTCCAGCTGTGCTGGCCAAAAGGGCCATGGCTCCTTCCCAGGGGGAGGATTTTACCAGCACAGATGATTTTGTTTGATGTGTATTTACACACTGAGCAGGCACACTGAGCCAAAAGGAGAAGGAAGGATGGGTAGCACAGAGTCATATGGGTGGGCAACACAGCCTCTACAGCACCCAGAGAGGACAGATGCCCACAGCTCAAACAATCTGGTTTGATGCTTCAGGATGGCAGTCCTTGAAGACGGTGAGTGCTCAAGGGCACAAAGCTGGTGTGCTGCCTTTCTGCAACAGGGTCCACTTCAGTTCCTTGCATTGCAGATTCCCTGAAAATAACATGAGCTTTATGTAAATGGCAGGTATATCTGTTTATTCTCTGTGGGCACAGAGTAAATCTAATTAAATCAGAAGGCTTCCAAAGTGCCATTAAGGCAAATTGGTGAAACATATTAAATTACACTCCCACCATTTTCCTGTGGTTTTGGCCTCTCTGTCTGAGGAGCAGGAGTTTAGAGCAGATAAACTGATGGAAAGTTCCTCAATCTCCAAGGAAAGATGGGAGAATGACTGGTCTGTTCACATTTTCCCGTAAGTATCACAGTAGCAGTCTGTGAGGGAAGGGTTTATTTTAGGAAGAGCTATTTTGAAAGCTAAAGTGTCACATCCTGGCTGGCTCTTTTCATGGTGTTACTATAATCATCCAGTTATGACAAGCTTAACGCAGAAAAAGCAACCTTTTTTTTCCTTTTCTTTTTTTAGGAAAAAAACAATGTAACTGGCATATTTTTGGACAAAGGCTGTCATTTTCTTTCTTTTTTGGTGTTCTTTTTACTTTTCCCTGTCATCTAACCCTATTTATAAAGCACTAGACATTAGATCTAGGAATTGCCTGTCCTTTTGTAGAAGTCCATGCTGGCAGCTCTTCCTAGTCTTGAACACTTGGGAGAGTTTTCTGAGTCTAGCACAGCAAGCAGTTCGCTGACTTGCACAGGCTCTCCTGAGGTCTCCTGCTCTCACCCTTCTGTGGACAAAGGTACAAAACCATGGATGATGAGAATTCATCATCTTCTCTACCTGAGTTAGAGCTCTTTGACATTAAACTAGTGCATCCAAAGACTGAAATCATCCCACAGGCACCTGTTGCCACATTAGGAGCAAGCCTACTCTTCTCAGAGTGATGCAGCTTAGGTGGGCAGCTGTCTTGCTTCTGAGTCTGAACTAAGGAGCCAAGTCTCAGTTTAGCAGGCATGGGAGCTGGGGGACGACCAGGCTGGCTGGTCCTGCTAGTACCACACCCAGGAGCAGGCAGGTCTTAGACCTCCCTCGTCGGCTTCACTCTGCAGGCTGGACTCCAGCTGAAGGCCAGGGTAGTTCAGAGCAGGACTGAATGACTGGGTGCTTTCATAAAACAGAATTATTTTCACAGCTGGAGTTGCAGCACAGTAGCTCATTCTGACTTAAACTGCATTTTCTGTAGACCAGACAAACAAGACAAACACAGACTGCATCTTCCTTGGCACTTAAGTAGCTCCTGCTTTGAATTCAAAGGGCGTAAGTAGGAAATTTATATACTTTCTAATTTATTTGAGGGAAGATAACTCTCAGAAAACCAAGGAGACTGCTCTCAATTTATGAGAATCGGACACTTTTAAACAGTGAATGAGTGAATGTTGAAAGAGTCCTGCCTGTAGAGCTACATGCATTTAATATTCAGAAGACTCACAGGAGATGCTAAAGTGCCCTCAGCTCAGAAAATTAATAAAATATTATCTCATGAGTGAACTTCAAAAGCATTGGCAGTTCCATTAATTTCACTTCAGATAAGCAGCCAAAATATTGCAATATCCTGCTAACCTGATGTGAAACATCCAGCTTTCCTTGGCCAGTAACTTTAAGCTGGAAATGTGTGAACAATCTTTATTATTAAATATTTAGCCATTTCATCTGATCTGTTGTGCCTCCCTATGCCTGGATCCAGTAATTCCTGCTTCTAAAAGTGGATCTAGGCTGACATACTCAGCAGGGCTTCAATGCAACATCAAGTATCTGAAAACGCAGGATTTAAAGGTTGTATTTGGCAACCCTTGCAGCTCTGTATTTAAGGGGTGACCTGTCCAGAGATCTCTCTTTCTGGGGCAGGAAGACCCTATTTGGCTGGTGGGTACAATGATCAAATCTGCAAGACGTGACAAGAGGACACTGTCTGAAGAGAGGGCATTTTAGAGAAATCCTAGACTTTGGTGGTTTTGTGCCTCAGGCCAACATATGCCAACATGTAGGGTTCTAAGGTTCACACTTTACAGCACTGAAACTTGGCCATTGCTAAGGATGCAGGAAGGGGGACTAACACTGAGATCCCAAATTAACCTGATGCCTATGGGAGTCAACATGTACTCAACCTTCCCTGTTACATCTCGCCTGCTGCAACAGCAACTCACCCAGCCAGAAATGGGACAGGCCATCTCAACAGCACGCCTATGTGAGGCATCACCAGTGAATGACGTTTTGGCATCATGGCAGCATAGCCCGAGACTGAGAGATCCTGTGGTCCTCACCTCCTCTTCATCCCTTCCCAGGTGCCACTTCTCCAGGAACCCTCAGCAAATATAAGGGACAGCTACCTCTCTTCACTTTCTGCTAGAAGAAAAGACAATCTTAAGTAGTGGTTAACAGATAAATTCCCCTGTCCATGACTGGATGTTCCTGGGAAATAGGAAAGAGATCCATTTCTCAGTCACCAGTTCCGTAAGAGGGAATAACAGCCCAAGAGTCAGCATCATCTCAGGGCCGTCTGGTTATCCACATGGCATCAGTTGTCTCTGTTAGCCCAGATATTCACTTCACCCCGGTCCAAATTGACACTTCTCTCAGTGTAGTCTACAGACAGAGCAAAATTAAATCCCTGCAGCATTTGATTCTAGTCTCATCCATGCTGCCAGTCCCTCCATGTGAGGAAGGGAGCCCAGGGGAAGCTTTATTAGTCTGTCGATGAACATAAAATGATAGCGCTTGCAGGACTGTCAATCCAGCACAAGTAATGAGTTAAATATATATATATTTCTGTTTAATTGCCAATTCATCAGTAATTCCCGACAGATGGAATCCTTGCATTTCAGGTCAACTTGACATCGCCAGCGCTCAAAGGTCCAAGTGAGCATTGCCAAATTTAATGAGCTGCAGTAACAATGTCTCCACATTACTGGACTAATTACTGGCTTCTGAAAAGAAAAGAAAAAAGGAGAGGGGGAGGAAGAAAAAGAAAATCCTCTAAACAGATGAAACTTTAATTAACAGCATTTTGAGACATTACTTGTTATGGAGCAAATGCCACTTCAAAGTGAAAATAGCCTCTAGGTGGATAATAGATCTAATGAAAGGTACAGTAGTCAATTTAGGACTGAATTCCTTCATATATACATCTTAAAACCTTCAGAATAACCAGACTTCATGGCAAGAGCCAGCGTACACCGCTGCTCCTGGTGCAAAGTCTCCATTTCCACAGGGCATAGACCGTTCAGAAGGGTTTGGCATGACGGCAGCTTGGTGCGGGGGGATCTGGTCTATAGAAGCAAACTACAGCACGTGGTCACTTCAGCTGGTGGCCAGTGAAGCAAAGGCCTGGCACTTGAGTGGCTTACATTGAATTTCCAATGCAAGATTTCTACATTAAAATAGAAATGTTTTCATTACAATTCGTGAATACAGTCTTGGACTTCCAGGTTGAAAATACACGTTTCTTTGAAGCCAGTGGAAATGTTGCATATTACACCTGTGGAACTAATAATAGAATGTATCCTCAAATGAATGAGGAAAATGCAAGGTTAATTTCTTCAAATTAACTTTCAGCAGCTTCTGTTTCTCTCTCTCTCATACACACAAATGCACATTCATTCACTTATCTAAACAGGCAGGAAGAAAAAATAATTCTAGCCTTCAAACTAGTCAAAATATTTTTCCTGTGAACTGAGAAGGAAGAAAAGGAAGAGGTTTGTTGCTATTTCTATTTTCAAATACTAAACATTGCTTAGATCTGCCATGATGAGGGCCCATGTCAAATTGCCTACTTCAGGCAACAGTAGGCTGCAAAAACATATCCTTATCCTGTGGAGACTGTAATGAATCTACTCATACCTTACTCACTTCACACACTGGTGTAACCACCTTTACAAACCCCACTGATGTGAACTGTGACCACACCAGCCCAGAGCAGGCTGGCAACTTCCTGCAATAAATTCCAATGATTGGGGAAGTGCAAATCACATCAGTTTGCACTGGGAGAGCTTGGCTGATGTAACAGTATTTATGTGCATTTAGGTGCATTCCCCAGAAGGGACTTAGAGAACAAAACTCAGCACTTACTGACATCCTGTGGGATCTTGCAGGATTCACCCAGCCAAGCACTGCCCCCCAGGCAGGAGGCTGGTATGATAAAACTTGGCATTGTCTGGCAGAATACACGCCTGCTGCACATTGAGCCTGAATGTTGCTTGGAGGGTGGGAATAGGGGGAGACATCGTATTTGTTTAGGCATAAGGACGTATCTCCATTTTCTCCTTAGTTTTCTTCTCACCCCTGTCCCAGTAGGCCCATTATTTCCCATTTCAGAATTAGCATCTTTGCCAACAGAACATAAAGGCAACAGCTAAGGAAAGCTGCAGCCTCTGTGCTTGAAGCATTTTCTGCCCAAATGACAGGACCTTAATTGAAGCCTTTTGCTTTGGGAACAGAACAGCAAGTGCTCTGTGCCAGTATATGGAAACACAGGGGACTCCTTAAATCTGCGTTTCCCCGGTACGCTGCCAAGGCACAAGCCTGGCAGGGTGGGGAATAGTGAGTTCCACATCCCCAGCCCCAGCACAGATCCAGATCTTGCTCTGCAGAGCTGTCCTGCACACATTCAGTGTTGCCTTAGGTGGTACTGCTTAATTTGCCTTAGGTAGCTCTAGCCATGCATCACAGCTTCTTACCTTGTTCTTCTGCTTGCGTAGGACTCTACCCTTCCAAAGCAGCACAGAGCAGATCAGCAAAGTAAAGACCCAAGAACACACCTACAGCTGGTCTGGTCATAAACCAGGAATTTAATAGTTTAACATGGAGAGTTCACTTTATCATCACCTCTCCCACCTCCTTCCTCGAACTAAAACACTTTAAAAAAAAAAAAAAAAAGAGGTAGCAGCTAAGAGGCTGATGGCTACGTTTAGCTGGAACAGGATTTGAGATTTTGAGGGAAAACACCTGGCTGCAAAGCACCAGGCTGATGCAATTCAAGGAAGAAATACGTTTCTCCCTATCAGAACAGGGATCCTGACATCAGTTTGTATGTGGCTGTTCAGTTACTGAGGATCACAGGACTCACAAAGAAAGGTGTACATCAGCAGAATATACTGTAGAGTGTGTGTCGTAGGGGTTGCCTTTTGATGGCTTTCACGCTGCTGAGTTGCACTCAAACTCATAGCCTTACAGTGGCCCTCATGGCCATCTCCCTGCATGAGCCTCCAAAATAATTATTGGATAGGTTCTAGTACATTTCAGCTATGATTTTCCTCAGAACAATCAAAAGATGGCAGCCATCACTTAGCCACATGTGACTTGGCTCCTGCTGTGTTCCCACATCCAGCCCACTCTGCTCACCTAAGCCATTCCAACCTGAGTTTAACTATGAACTCAAGTTTTCCTTAGCCATCTGCCTCAGTGGCTTTTGCGAGGCTTCATGCCAGTGCTCTCATGTACATAGGAGTTGGTTCCAGCCACTGCAGTCTCTTCCAACACCCTCAACCTTACTTTTACCCATAATTTTCAGGACACCCTGACCACAGGAGTGGAAGCCTATAAGGCGTCTGTGGGATCCAAGCAGCTGGCAGGTTTCCAGGCTTGCGGTTGCCCTCTTTTGTTACTGGAAATACCCTAATTAGTTTCTAATGCACTGCATTAACCTGACAGCCATCCACCTTATCCCACATCTGCTGGCTTCTTCGAGGCTTGTTTTTTTTTAACACCAACTGCAGACTGCAAACACTTTTCCCATCACGGTGCTCCTTGCTTTGCTAACGGCTGAAGATAGCCTGTGAAGACACTGCACAAGTGGTGGGTTTGGCTGGAGAGCAGGACATCTCCTATGGCTGCTCAACCAGGTACATCCACACCAGCAATTCCCTTTCCCTGACCAAGAGGTGGGTGGAGGCAGGAGGCCCTGGATGGGGAGAGCTGTGAGGTGTCCTGAGGTCCCTCAAAACACTAGCTCAGGATCTTCTCCTCTGAGTCACCTTCTCTGTAAGGAGAGGAGGTCAAAACTCACCTGGGAGGAGCACTTAGCCAAGAAGGCAGATATGTGTCACTGCAGGCATAAGCACAGGCACTACTGAATAGCCAGGCAGAGTTTAAGCCCTAGGACAATTACGAGTCCTGTACTATAGATACATCCTAACTTGCAGCTTTCTCATACTCCCTTCTCCACTTGCTGCACACAGACACAAACTTCCCACAGCACAGAACAAGTGACCAGCATCCTCCTATTCTCACTCTTGATGCTTAAAACCAAAGCAATTAGAAACTACTATCTCTCACCTAAGGATGAGAGAGAGACATCCCCAGTGAAAGGTATTTCTCCCAACCCTCTGGTATCCACAAGGCACAGCCCTGCAACCTGAGTGTGAGCTTTAGCAGCTGTCTGCAGAATGCCCCCCCCCAGACCCAGGTTCATGTTTCAAGCATCTCTTAGAAGACACGGATCTGAGACACGTTTGATTCTTGCCTAATTAGCTCTTACTCCTGACTTTCAATGAAGAAAGCTGGAGAAAAGGTGGCTCAAAAAGATGATGTTGACAAAGGAGGTGCCTGCACCTTGATTTACTTCAAGTCCTTGAAAGCCTGTTGTTGAATGTAAAAGAGGAATAAATAAATAAATAAATAAATAAAACCCCCACAGTAATAAAAAGCAGCTAATGTATCCAATTTTTATGGCCAAAAATAAAGGCACTGGAAGGCAGGCTTTTTAATGGCTATCATTCCTCCTGTGTTATTTGAAGATCCCTTGTAAACGGGAATCCTGGGTCTGTTTTGCCATCTGTTCCCTCTACTCCTGCCTAGGAATCCTGAAAGGGTATTTATTGTATATGCAGGTTCAGTGAGGCCCACTTACTATAAACAAATACTGCATGAAATATGGTGGGGCCAGCTTTTTCTACAGTGCCTGTATTTATGAGGAAACAGTATAAAAACAAATATGTAATCTGGAAATAAACCTGTTACATGAATAAAAAGTCCTATGGAGCAAAACATAATGATTAGCAGAGCCATTCAGTGAAAGACCCTGTTAAGGGAACACATCTGCTGTCATCCACTTTGCATTAGTGCTTTTCCCCCCTGATAAAAATCCATCTAAAAGCAGCCATCAGAAAACCATGGGGGAGGGGAGGAAGGAGAAGCAGGAGATGATACAACCTAAAAGCTACAAGGCCAACCACAGCACTTTTGCTGGTTCTTGAAATGCCTCTTGAGTCCTGCACCCTGCTGTCCACCAAATATAATGTATGTTATTTACAGCATGTACTAGGTACAGATTACAGTCAGTCAGCTGAATGGAGACAAAAAAAGGGGGAGAAGAAGTAATTATAAAAATAAAAAGAAAGATCAGCAAACCAGTTGAAGGCCAATAAAGGACTTGAAGTGCAACATGTTAGTGTACACATGCAGAGAGAATCATATTTTGCTTTCGATCAATTGCACATAGCCTGAACAGGGGTTATATAGAAGAGCAGAGCAAGACAAATCTGCTATTGAAATGCAACTCAGTCATGGCCTCTGATTGCCAGCTTCACTTGTGTGCAGTATCACTATTCAGATGCAGGAAGTACTATTCTAGCTACCTGTTCCTATTAACTCTGTATTTACAGACCTCAAGTAAAATCACGACCTGCTCTGCACCCACTCCACCCCGCCCACACAGGCAGAGCCAGCAACACGGGTGAATAATCGCACTTGTCACCCTCTCTCCCCACAATTTACATTTACTCCAAGATGTGCTGGGTATTTCCTATCTCAGTTTCTGCTTTCCACTGTGGGTTGCCTGACCTTCCCCATGGAGCCAGTTATTAACACTCCGGTCTCTACCAGCAACACAAAGTAGGTACAAGCTGATGCAACCCTGGAAAGTGCCGTACCAAACACTGATGCAACCCCTCTGAGAACTGTGACTACTCCCCCAGAGAATGTGGGACAA